TCCCCGGAGAAAAACTTTTCAGACCTCCTAAGGGGAATTTTATTGAGACGTTTGTGTTGGTGGAGTACCCACAGCTTGGGAAAAGGGACTGAGGTGTCCACTCTGCTTGCAGAGATGCTCCCACCGTGGGCTTTGCTGCTGGGCAGAGCAGGGAGGACTTGGGCTGCAAACTGCTTGAGCCACCTCTTCCGAGGCCAGGCGAAGCCTGGAGATAAGGAGTGGATTTGAGGAGTGCTCAAACACTGGTCTTTGGGGAAGCTACTTCAAACACCACTTCCTAGTGCTCTAAGTCATCCGGTTCTCTCTCAACTTGCTTCACTCCCTCAGCCTAAAATATTTATTCCTCCAGCAAGGAAGGCTCTCAGGGATAGGACAAAATGACCCATTGGGCTGAAAGTGATTTTATCCGTGTGGTGCTGATGGATGCAAGCTTCACATGTGCAGCCCAGCTCTGTGCTTTCTGCTGTGCTTTATCTGCTGTGGTTTCAAGCCCGCCTGGCTGCGCAGGTCTGCTGCACACGGGATTTATTGTCGGACCAGCAGCACTTTATATAACCCCCGGGGCACGGGGGAATACACGCCTGAGGGTTGCTGAGTGTTCAAAATGTTCACTCTTCAAATGAGGTCTGCGGTAAATACGTGGCATTACTCCAGGTGCTTCGCTCAGACGTTGGTCATGGGTTTTCCATTAGGAAGGGTGCAGGAACCTGAGTGGTGTGGGGTTGGGAACGCATCGCGTGCCTGTAGCAGCACCCGCCTGCATGCACGGGGCTCTGAGACACCTTGTCTGGCTCCTGCAGAATGAGATTTTGATTGATAAAACAGTTTTTTTCATGAGAAATGCTTATTCATTGTAGTTTGAGTTTTTTTTCTTTCTCTTTTTTATTTTTTCTCAATAATATCATCGTTTTAAGGAACCCAATGGAAGCATTCGTTTGGACAGGAAGAATTTTCATTGAAGTCTGGGAAAAACACGTCTCAGACCAATAACTGTGTCTGACTGTGAAGGGCTGAGAGCCCATTGCCGGAGCCCCCTGGCCAGCCAGCTCTTTTCAAAGAGTCTTAATATTATTTCCCCGTTTTTAAAATCTGGAGAAGTTTGTGAGAGACGGCAAGTTTTCCTCCCCAGCTTGGCACAGCCACCCCCAGGCAGCAGGCTCAGGAGGCAGCTGGGACAGCTCCTGGGCAGGTCAGAGACCAGTTCTCTGTATCTGAAGAAATCCTTCGATATTGAGTATGTTTGAAATGACTTCTCTGTTGGGCTTTGATTGTTATCATTTATCTTTATTGAAAGATGTGCGGGTGTTGTGCCAGCATCTCCTCCTGCCCCTTTTGAAAATAACTAAGTTGGTTACTTGGTTTTGTTCTCCAAATCCACTTAAATGCCCCTGGTAAGCTGCTTTTTGCCCATAAGTATTTGAAGAAGCCTCAGTGTTTTAGATAATGACCATTGCACAATTTCTCATCCATCACAGGGAAGGTAAGAGCGAAGCTGGGGGTGGCACTAGGAGTAGCAGTGAGCAGCAGGGCTGTGTCTTTGCTTCTCATCTCTCATGTTTTTTGCTTACTATTTCAGCCGAAATCCCTGTTGATGAGACCTGGGAGAACATACACACTTCACAATACCTCACACAAACGAGGGCATTGCTCTGACGGGGTTTGCGTGCTCACCGGGACACAAATTCCTGACTTTTCCTGCACATTTTTAAAGGCCATTCACTTTGGGGTTGTTTTTTTTTTTTTGTAAACCATAGCTCTGCCTTGTCAGGGAAATAAAGCCTTCCCTTTCAGTGGGGAGTGTTCTGGGTGAGGATTGTTGCTGGGAGCTGGTGTTGCTGATGCCTGTTGTTTTCTATTGTCAAGCTAACTGCAATGCGTGACCGCCATGTATCACTCAGCGATGCCTAATTTAGGAGATCAGTGATTAATTCTTGCCATTGCTTTTTCTTCTCTCTCTCCCTCTCTCTCTCTCTCGCTGCAGGATGTTTTCACACCAGAGTGCAAATTTAAAGAATCTGTCTTTGAAAACTACTACGTTATTTATTCTTCCACGCTGTACCGGCAGCAAGAATCCGGACGAGCGTGGTTCCTGGGACTCAATAAAGAAGGTCAAATTATGAAGGGAAACCGGGTGAAAAAAACCAAACCCTCATCACATTTTGTACCCAAACCCATTGAAGGTATGGAACCTCTCCCTCCATCGTTGTGGTGTGGAGGGTGGTTGAGTTTGCAGATGCAGATTTGGGGCTGTGTGGATGGGGGTGTTGGGGAGCAAGACCAGAAAGCAAGGGTGATGGCTGTAAAGTTTCAGAGGGGTGCTGGGCTGCACTGTTAGTGCTTCGTCTGCTTTCTTTCCTGTGTAAATGAACTCCACACATCATCCCATAAAAGCTTCTCAGCTTTGGCTTGCTAAAGGATGAATTTAAAAATTCAGCCATATGAGAAGGTACTGGGAAGGGAAAGCAGCCCTTGGTCACTCCGAAGTTTCAAAGGAATCCAACTCAGCAGTGACCCTAATGTTGTGTTCTCTGTGAGGATTTTCTCAACTTTAATCGGTGGCCTTCCAGTTCTGTGTAGAGTCACGAGAGGTAGGATTTATCGCAGCTGATTTCAGAGTACAAGACGCTGTTTATGGTAACAGGACAGAAATGGGCCCTGCCAGCATAGTTGTGGATGTGCTTTATGCATCTAGTCTAAGATGGTTTCAACCTACAGGTGCTCATGTTTTTTCCTGTATGTAAAGACAGCCTAGTATGTCACAGGGGGTAGAGAAAACTTTATCATAGATGCCCAAAGTTGGATGAGATGCTCTCACACAACGTCTTCCTCACATCACGAGGCTTCAGTGGAAATAGCGGAGTTGATTTTTAGCTCTCCTGCTACTGCTGACTGTACAGTACTGAAGCGTGCCACAGGCTCCTGCCATTACCTTTTTTAATGGGCTGGGAACTGGCAAATGGGGAGAAGTAGTGCGGTAAGCCTAGTACTTAACAGGTATTAACTTGATTTTTGAAACAAGCAAACATCCTTTTTCTGTTGCTCAGAAATTCAAGAGAAATGGAGCTCAGCATTCACAGGGTATCTTTGTGCAGCCTTTGTGCAGAAGATGGAGGTGGTGGAAGAAATGAGAGTGGCACAAGCATGCTTTTCCTGGGCTGGTGCTCATTATTTTTTCTACAGCCGGGAGCCGTTTCTTGTTTATTTGAGGCACCAGGGAGACTCACTCCCTAAGCCCACTTGGAGTTTTGCTGAGGAACAGGACCTGTTTCAGACATGAGGTTGGTCACCAGCTTCTCTTCCGTCTCCTCCTCTCCTGCCTTGGGCGGGAGGAGAGGCTTCTGCAAGTGCTAGCTTTCCCAGCTGGGTTTCCAGCTCCTTCTGGTATTTCTTTGCTGCCTGGCTGGGTGTTGGCACCGATCAGTGGGTTCCTTTGAATCCAGATTTCTTTTTTGATGCAGCGTGCATCAGTCTGTTGAATGGCTCAATAGTTGTCTTCTGCATGCATTAAATTAGGCCGTTCCTGGGGCTCTCCGTGCAGGAAGACTTGCCATAATAGAGGTGCTTGACCCGCAGCGGAGTTCTCATTGCAGCAAATGCCTCTCCGGCTTTCATTTTGAAAAACCCAGCCCAGCCCGAGAGCTTCCCTTTCCTGCAGTTGCCTCCTCCCACGCTCGCTTCAATCACAGCTGTCACATAACCTCCCGAGCGAGCGAGCGCTTTGGAAGTTGGCAGCCAAATTAAGGGCTCCTCCACCCCTTCCCTCCTCCACACGCTTTGCAGGCAGCCTCTGCGAGCGCTGCTGCATCAAAGAGCTGGCAGCCGCCCAAGCCGAGGCACGTGTCAGCTTCCCAAAGCATTCAGCTGTCTGGGGCTGTGACTCCAGCAGGAGGACTCTGTTCCCAAGCCCAAGATTCATTGTAGGTAGCAGAGGGTTGTGGGGAGGGCTGGAGTAAAGCTCAGCTCCACGTGACTCGGCGGTGCCGCATCCATCAAAGTCTCCGTGAGCAGAGCTTGCAAGCAGAGATGTTACAGAACGGGGGCAATTCCTTCCCTGCTTTAGCAGCATCTTTCTCTTTGACGTGACTTGAAGGAAGCATTTGAAGCGCTCCCCTGCTGTATGTGCACATCCTTTTTGCTGAGCGCCGTGGCGTGTCCCAGCGTGTGAGCTCTGCTGCTTATTCAGGCCAGCACTTCCCAGCCTGGACCCGCAGCACGCACCCGGGTTTGGGTTCGCATTAATACTGCAGCGTGGTGGCTGGCAGGGTAACGTGTGCCTGGGGATCGTGTCCCTCGGGAAAGAGAGGTGTGTGCACTGCCAGGAATCGCTTCACCCACCACTCCAGTGGCAATCATCTCCGAGCTGAAACTTCCCAGTCGTTTTCCATGTGCAGAAAAAATATGCAGCAGCTCAGGGAAGGGAACCTTTGCAGGAAAAGGAAACAAGAAAGGCCGGAGTGCTCACAGAGCTCACTTGAAGCCTGTTGCTCCGTACTGCTTTCTGAATTCAGAGTCCTTCCCTCAGAATTGCAAATGGGCAATAAGCTAATAAATATAACTATGGAATATCCTCCCAGGTAACTTCTAAGGACCACATTTATGTATGTGCATATGTATGCAGCAGTACCTGTGTGTGTTACCTATCCCAGCCACAGCTTTATGCTGTGCTAATCCCACAGGTCGCTTTGTCTCCGGTAGATTATCAGGATGCTGGAGCTGCTCTGAGCAAAAGCGACTAGAAAGGTTTTTGTGCCGGGTCATTAGGAGGGGTTGCTTTTGGTTTAGTGTAGGTAGGATTTGCTTGTTTGTTTTTGAGAGTCGCACCAAGCTTAATCAATATAAAAGCACAAAAAAACTTCCTAAGTAACAACAGGGGAAGCGTTAAGTTCCTCTCCCATCTGTGCACAGGCAAAGCCAAGGCAAACAGCCTGGCAGGCAGCAGTTAATGTACTGTGTGGGGCCACTTTTGGTTAAAAACACACATACGCAACACATTTCTTTTGATATTTTTATTTCTGATCACTGATCATTCGAGCTAAATGAGCCTTTAAAGTGCAGACATATAGATTGAACCAGACTGCACAAGAAATTAGCTTGAGTATAATTGTCACTTGGACACCAAGTAATCTTTTAAAGCAATTTCAATCTCTTTAAGTGTCTGTAGTGATTAGTGCTGGACAAACACTTTTATCCATGGTGCCTCTTGTTTATTTCCATACCTAAGCCCACCTCAAATAATGGGAGGCTTTTCCAGTCATTCGAGTAAGAATTTGATCGGATGCTTATTGTGGATGTGCTCTGCTGTTTTTATTTAATTTCCTTGAAGACATCACTTCCAGCCTGTTCTCTCAAAAGAGCTACGTGTCAGTTCATCTCTCACCTGGCCCAAAGCAGGATATACCTGGGGTGGCAAATCTGGCCACAGAAAGCAGAAGATGACTCGTACTCCCTCTGAGTCAGCAGAGCTGCCCCTAAATCCAAATTCACGGTGCCTCAACCCTCGTGACTTGGACAGGTATCAGGAAGGTGACCTGGTAGTGACTAATCTGAGCCATCTACTGCCACTGATGGATATCCACACACAAGAAACAGCCGCCAGATCCTTCCTGGTGTGTTTTCTGCGGAGACAACATCCCAGTTCTGGTAAAGTGGAGTCTTCAGGTGTTGCAAAGAAATGCAAGACACTGCTGAGTAGGAAGATGCTGTAGGCCTAATGAAAAAGCTTTAAAGAGATCACCTTAATCCACACAAAATCCTAGAAGAAGTGTTTTTTTTGTTTTGTTTTTAATTAAAAAAAGAAAAAACAGCACCACAACACTCACAGTCCTTGCTAAACACAGCTCCTCTTTTGGGTCTGCCTCTCAGGCAGACAGGCTGTGCTATGTTTTCTGTCCCACACTAGCTCATTTGTTCATCTATCAAACTCCTAATCATCTTATTAGAGGGCAAAGGCAATGTATTTTACCCACGCTTTTGCTTGGCTTTTTGTCATCCTGTGCCGTGCTCCTTACCTGAACAAACCGACTCCATCTGGCAGCACCCCGCACGTTTAGCCGCTGGGGAGCCGTGAGCTCAAACGCCTCTGAAACGCATCAGCTGGGCCTGGGTTTGGAACACGGTAATTAGAGGCAGAAAACGAGGGTGCATAATCACCCGCTCCCTCCTGCCCCTAGCTGTTGCTCAGACAATTAATTCCCTCCACCAGAGCAGCAGCTAATGCGGCCGCCGTGGCCTCCTGCTGCTGCAGAGTGACACCCGGGGCGGTGGCAGCCACCGAGGGGAAGAGGCCGGGCTGCTGAGGATGCCACGGGGCCAGGCTGTGACCCCACAGGGCTGCCCACCCGCCTGCTGAATGGCAATGTGGAAAAATCAGCTCCTCCTAGCTCCCTAGGGCTTGGGTACCTCCCTAACGCAGCCAGCCCCTGACGCCCAGGGAGACCACGCGGGGTGATTTCAGTTTCACCGTGTGGGTGCTGCGCCAGTGCCGGGCTTGGGAAGCAGAAATGAGGCTGGGATCCTGTGCCAGATGCAGATGAGGGATTCGTGTGTTCCCGTGTGAAAGGCAGCCCCTCTGTGCCTTGACCTTTGGGAAGGATGCTCCTCGCCTTCCCCTTCTCCCTTGCTTGTACCCGCAGCCCGCTTCCTGCTGAACTGCTTGCAGAATTATTTCTTGGGCATGCCAAAGGCAGGCACTGCTGGGCCTGGGGAGGCAGAGAACCGAGAGCTGCAAGCAGCAGCCGGGGGCATGGCCCCGCTCTCCCCCTGCCATTTACACCCGTGGCTGTGCCGCGGATCAGGCTCACGGCGCTTTCCAGTTACAGCATGAATATGGATGTGTTGATTAGAATCTGGGACATAGGAGCTGATTATCTGATTGAAGCTCCAAAGCATTAGCTTGGTTTCCAGACATTAAGGGCTGTATTTGGCTTGGTGTGTGGGTGTGGGTGGGTGGGAGAAGCAAGGCAAAGCAGGGAGGGGAGCCTTGTTCTAGCCTAATTGCTCATCCTGCCAGAGCTGCCTGGCGCTCTGCAGAGCCACAGCCCTCCCCGGCGTCCCGGCATGCCACCTGCCACACTGCTGCTGCTTCACCTCGATGCAGGGGACGGGGACAGCGTGTCTCCACACACACAGGGACCCCAAACTCACCCGTCAGCGAGGGCTGGTGGTCCCGAACCACAAGGATTTAGTTGAAAGCTGGGAAAATCTGGGCACGCACGGCAGGCCATTTGCAAACATGCCCCCTCCCCGGTCGGTGCCGAACAGCTCCGTGTGTGAGTCACACTCGAGCTTTCCCAGCACAGGGAGTAACAAACTGCAGGGCAAGAGCTCGTGTTGCACAACGTGTCACCCTGGCCTCAAAGCCCCGCAGGCACCCGTCCGCATGCATCCTCTCCTGGGGCCGTACGCACACCGGGCTGCTGCCGTGCACACGGGTTTGCAGCCACCGTGGAGCAGAGGCTGCAGCTCAGCGTGTGTGCAGAAGCCTTTTGAGACTGTCCAGGCAATATTTGGTAGGTGAGGCCGTACAAATGTTGCATACCCTCATACCATAGGGGTAGCTAAATGCTGACAACACGCCGGTCCCGTGCTGCTGTGGATTTCCTGGCGTGGCCTGTTGGCACAGCCTGTCTTGTGCTGAGGCTTTGACAGCGCTGGCTGGAAAGCACAGTGTGAGCAGCCTCCAGCCAGGCCCCTTGTCAGCACTTGTATCACCTTCTAGACTGGAAGATAAATATTGAATTCCTGCCTTATTTGCTTGCTAGGTACAGGGTTTCTTTATTTTTCTGTTGCACGTGTTGTTTACTTCTGCAGCCTGATTTGTGGGCCAGTGTAGATGCAAAATCCCAAACTGGCTTGAATTTCTCTGTGATTCTTTGGGCATTTGGGGGAACTGGGACTGGGAAGACAAGTTCCATTCAAGAAACTGCCTGGGGGAAAGCTCACCCAGGTGCCTCAAGCTCCAGCCTGGGACCAGAGAGGTCAGGGTGAAGCCGACACTGGACTCAAGGCACAACTTTGTGTGTGGGACAGCTCTGGAGCAACACTAGCACAAAAACCCAGCCCCCTTGGGCAAGCATCACATCACAGCCCAAGGTCAGGCTCAGAAGGGATGTTCAGCCTTAGTGTCATCAAAAAACCATACCACTTGGGCTAAGAAACCACAAGGGAACACGAGCACAGGTTTTTCTCAGTCGTTAACTTTTTCCCCATTGTTCTTTAAGCTCTTACTGTCCAGTGCTAGGCCACCAGAGCAGCAGTTCGGGCAGCCGTAAGGTCAGCGCTTTGCACAACAGGAAAGTCACTGCCACAGGGTTGGCAAGGGACACGCGCCAAGGTGTGTGGGACAGCTCAGCAGCCGAAAGGGGACATGAGCTCACTTCTGTCCTGCTGGCAGGCTGCTGACAGGCTCCACGCCGTCCCTGCAGCACTCAGACCGCGCGGTCCCACCGGGCAGCTGACGGCGGTGCTGGCATTGCTCATTCTGGCCCCGACACATGGGCTGAGTTGTTCGTGTTCTCCTTTTTCTTGTTTTCGTCAAATAATGATGCTGCAATAACAGTTTGCAGCGCAGCCCCTGCCTCCCAGGCTTGTTGGGAGGCCCAGCTAGCGCTTAAACTGCTTTGAAAGCTTTGTGTTAAAGATCCTCTATGGGAAAAGCCGTATTTTTTCACTGCTCATATATTCAGTGCAATATCCCGCCTATTAATACACAGTTGACTGCACTTTATCTCTGTCCTGTATTGTTGCACACTGCTATAACTGTTTATCTAGCTAGGAGTAAAATGCAGAGCAATAATGTCATTTGCAGCCTGCCTCTAATTGCCAGGATTTATTTGCAAATCGGGGGAGGTTATAAATATAAACGCTTACATCTCTTTACTATATGTGGCATATTTGTTTCATTTCTTCAGATAATTTTTGAAATTTTGTTCTTGTTGATTACCCGGAACCAAAGCCTGATGGGCTCTGTCCCCGTGTTCGAGCTCCGGGCAGTTGTTTGTGCTGTGACAGCATTACAAAATGAAGGAGGAGGCAATCAGTTCTTTCATTCCCAATTTTTGCAAAGATCCAGACGTGAGATTTAAAGTCTGGACCCATCTCAAGTTCTCCACTCCAAAGTGCCTGCCCTTGAAACGCCTCGGTATTTGCAATGAGCTCATCAGAGCTGCTCCTCTCGGTGTGAGCACCTGCCCCTGGCCTGGCACAGCGCTCGTGGCATGAGGACAGCCACTAGGACATAGTCCTAGCGGTGAGCTAGACAAATGCTTGATGCTGCACAGGGCACGGGGATGTGCCACTGCTTGGGCAGATGCTGCCTAGGCTCCAGCAGGTTCGTGTTTGGAGGCATGCGTCTGGAGAGAAGGTGCCCTCCAGCCACTGCGTTCTCAGGCACTGCCAGGTGACCGTGCAGAGCTGGGATGGTTCCTGGCTTGCCGTCACTGAACTCATCCCCACGTGTCTGCTCACAGCGTTTGCCTTGGCTGACTGTTGATTTAGAGAGATAAAAATAACAAGTGCTGAGAGCAAACCCTGGGTCTTGGCTGAAGGCACCAAAATGGGCTTCAGTCACCACTTCCACATCCAGAGCTTAACACCCAGGAAACCCAGATGGCCCAGATGAAGGTGGGATTTTGATTCAAGACACCAATTATGTTGTGTTGGAGATTAAGGACAGGGCACCAGGTAATTCTTGGACCTGCCATTAAATGGTATTAGCATCCTGAGATGCTGGCTGATGCTGGGAACTGGAATGTTTATTTTATGTATGTGAATGTAATACTAAAAATCAGTAAAGCACATGAAACCTAGAAAGATTTAACTGTGAGAAAGCAGAAATCCCTTCTTTCTGTCTGTGCCATTGGAAGGATCCAGATAAGGAGGGATGATCTGGCGTGGCAGCAAAGGCAGGTAACAGGTCTTGCTTGAGAACAGGATCTACTGCTGGGTCACGGGGGTTTTTCTAAGTCTGTGTGTGTTTGTATTGGGTTGAAAATTTCAGTTCCACATACAAAGAACTAATTCATTCTGATCAGTGACATTTGTGACTTCAGGCTGTTAACGGTTGTCTTTTCTGTTTGCAGTGTGCATGTACAGAGAGCCATCGCTGCATGAAATTGGAGAAAAACAAGGACGCTCTAGAAAAAGTTCAGGGACACCAACCATGAATGGAGGCAAAGTTGTTAACCAAGACTCGACATAGCTGACAAACACCCTCCCTACCTCCAGCTCCTCCCCTCCCACCCACCTTCCCACCCCACCTGGCGAAACCACACTGAGACGACGACAGCTGAGCAAGGCAGGACCTACCGGTAGTGGCTAGGAGTCCGAACTCAAGAAGCTTTCTTTGTGTAGGACGAGGAAACCGAACCCCAGATCTTGCCTGTTGCAACGTTTTAAACAAAACAAAACGAAAAACACACACACACACAAAAAAAAAAAAGTGAAGAAAAAATGTTTTAAATCAGGACTCCATTAACATTTTCAAAAGCAAACTGTTTGCTCTGTGATCAAAGGGGGAAAAAAAAATCTCATCTCTGCATAATATTAATAATAACAACTAATAAATATAATAATAATAATAAAGATGTTACCTTTAAAAATAAAACAAAGCTTTTGGAAAATTGAACTTAGCATATGATGTGCAAGAAACACACACCAGGGCGGTGCTTTCTGTCTTATCCTTTCACCTCACGTTCACACCACTGCCGTTGCCATTCCCGTTTCCCTGGGGATGGATGGGATTTTTCACACAGCAGGAACGGTAGGGATGGATTATGGCTATGCTCGCTCTGCTATCAATAAAACATGGCCTGCCCGAATTAAGAGTCTGACAGTTACAGGCAACAACCTAGCAGCTCTGCATTCAGCCTTTTCCACCGACATTCAAGCACTGTGCAGTTATTTGTTGCTCGTGTCACTATGCGAGTACATTTGACCCACGTCTGCCCTTTTATGCCTTTTTATCATAATTATTTATATTTATAGGCTTGTTTTACTGTATTAGTTGCCAGGGGAGTTTCAGAAATGGGTTTTTCAGGTTTTGCAGGATGAAATGATCACATTTATTAGGGGCGAGTTAGAGCAAAGGGGAAGGAGGGATGGAGTGAGCAGCCATGCACTGCGTGGGGGGGACAGGGGCTGCAACACCAGGACAAAGGCGTGGGTGGGTACAGGGCAGCGCAGGGGCGAGGCGCTGCTGCCCTTTCTGCCAGTGTGCAGGGGCTCCACACATCTCATTTCTACCTGTGGTGTAGAATACATGCCCCTCTAACACAAAGCCTCACACCAGCCAAGTCTGTTATAGGAAGGGA